GTAAGACGTAACCTTGACTCCCTGTAGGAGGGGAGAGTCCTGTGCCGCTGGGATTTCTCGCCTCACCACGGCAGACATTGGGGCAGGTCACGGTCTGGGGGCGTCCTGGGCACTGTGGGGGCAGAGCAGTATCCTCAGACCCGCCACTCGATGCCAGGAGCTCTCTGGTCGGTCGTGACGGCCAGAGACCTCCCAGGATGTGGGCCCATGGCCCCTGGGGCAGCCCTGGGTGAGAGCCTGGGGCTCGAGCTCATGTGGGAGCCACCGTTGCTGCCTTGGGAAGCACCCCATGCCATGTCTGCCAGATCAGCGCTGCGGGCCCAGGGGGAGGGTTTCAGGCACTGTGGGCTGCAGCAGCCCCCCGCCCCGGGCCCGCTTCTGCACGGCGCACTCCCCCCCACCCCCGGGCCCGCTTCTGCATGGCGCTCTCCAACTATGCATGTGCCGTGTGTGTGTTTTCTGCTGGGAAGGCAAGCGCAGCCCGCGACCTTTCCTGAGCAGAACATTTTAAGGTTTTGACTGTGGGTCTTGGCAGTTCTTGCAGGAGAACAGCTTGTCCGCAGAAAGAACTGATAATAACGTGCATTTCCACATGCCTGGGAGGGACTCGAGGCGGGGAATCGGTGGGGACGGGGGTGGGGGGGGGCAGTGCTCTTACGGGTGCTCGGGGGCTGCAGTCAGCTCCGCTCGAGGACCACTCTAGAGATAAAAGGCTCCAGCAGTGCTTTTGGCAGGAAAGCTCACCAGCTCCCGGGAGGACAAGGGGCAATCGGGAAAACACACTCAGCTGTCTGAAGGTCACGGAGTTCCTCTGTGCTCTGTGCAGTGAGCAAGAAGGCTGGGAAGTGCGTGTCCTTGTCCAGGCACTCTCCCCCCTTCCCCCCTCCACACTGGGAACATCGCGGCCAGCCACTCTGTGGGGGCTGAGCAGAGGCCCTGGCCCCCACCCCCTTGCTGCTACACCCCCAGCATGACAGTCAGGGATGTCCCCGACACGGCCCAGTGGCCGCTGGGGACAAGACCACCCCCGTGAAAGAATCGTAGACTTAACCTAATCCATCCTTCCTGCTGTGGTCCCATTTCGGGTGCTCAGCAGCTGCCCTGTGGTTCATGCGCGCCACGCTGGAAACGGCAGCTCAAAGACAATGTCACGCCCAAAGGAAATCTAGCGGCACCGCCACCGTGGCCTGGTGAGCCCGGGTGACTCCCAAGGCGAAAGTCCAGCACCCTCAGGGGATAGGAGGGCCTCCCCAGGAGGCCTCAGCTGCAACCCCAGCCCCCAGAGCTTCCATGGATGGGGGTAGGGTCCACCAGTGGCTGGGAACTTGTTAAAGACACAGTATGAGGAAGACCATTAAGACAGCGTCCTTGTCCTGTCCCCAGGGGACGCTGGGCCATGTCTGGGGACATCTGTGGTCATCACACAGGGCGCTCCTGGCATCGGGGGGTGGGGCCAGAGATGCTGCTTGACCCCATAAGCACTCAGGACGCGCCCAGAGAGTCACCCGCCTGACCTCAGCAGTGCTGGGGCCGGGGGGGGGGGGGGGGGGGGGGGGGCACAACGGTCTCCGGTTCCTGCTCGCATGTCAGCTCTGTGGAACCAAGGGTTTCACTGTGTGGTCACTGCCGTTTCTCCAGGGCCAGGCGCAGGCACTGCTCAGAAACCCCTGGGCCCCAGGGACCACGCTAGAAGGTGTGATGTGGGCCAGATTCCACACCCAGGGGGGCCCGGGGGACTTCTGAGGGTTCGTGCCATTTAGGTGAGTCCCAAAGGAAAAGCTGTGTGGGGCCACAGCCACTAGCCCCTGCTCGGGATAATGGAGGAGGGAAAGTTCCAGAAGCCAGACTCAGTCCTCGAGCAGCCGGGCTCCCCACCCCCAATCCTGTGCCTTTGCTTCTGTGTTACAGCCTCTGCTCTGGCCACCAAGGTGTGCCCAGGTCCAGGGTGGATTTGGGGGTGCAGGTGTGCCGGTGCCCTGAGCCCCCAAGGTCACAGGCCAGTGCTTCCCGCCTCCCTCCTACACCCAGTGGAAGGGGCCGGCTGGGGCCCAGTCCGAGGCGGCTCTGGATCTGCGACGGGAATGGGGGTGGGGTGAGGGTGACCATGGGACTGTCGGGGCTGCAGTGTCCTGGAGAACGGGGACAGGGCGCTCACAGTGGTCCAGCAGGGGTGAGGGGGGACTGGAAATACAGGGCGCGCCCACCTGTGCCGCCTCCGCCCACACAGGCTGAGGCCCAGCGGAGGCGGACCCCGTGGACCTTCTCCGCCCCCTTGTGGCCACCAGCGGGAACTGCAACACCCTGGCGGAGGATGAGGCGGGAGCCCAGCCCCACACCCCAGGAGCAAACACCCCTAACTCCTGGTCCTCCTTGAGCTCTGACATGTGCTGGAGGGCGGGTTCTGCAGCCAGGGCAGGTGGCGGGACCCCTGCTCAGCGACACCCCGGCTGCTCAGGTGGTTAACCCTGGCCGGGGTCTAGCGTGTCGGTGCGCCTGCGGGGCGGGTCCAACGAGCGACTACGAAATTCGCACGTGGGCACCTGGGGGGCTCAGTCGGTTAAGTGTCCAGCTTCGGCTCAGGTCATGATCTCATGGTCGTGAGGTCGAGCCCCGCATCAGGTTCTGTGCTGGCAGCTCAGAGCCTGGAGCCTGTTTCAGATCTGTCTCCCTCTCTCTCTGCCCCTCCCCCACTCATGCTCTGTCTCTGTCTCAAAAATAAGTAAAAACTATTAAAAATTAAAAAAAAAATTCGCAAGTGAGTGTGGAAAGCCCGACACCCCCCTCGAGGTGCTCCCGCAGGCCCTGCCCACGGCGTACCTGCGCACCGCGCCCCCCCAGGGGGCATCACCGCACGTCCCTGCGATGCCTCCCGGCACCCCCCCCCCCCCCGGGGCAGGGGGAGACTCACCAGCGTGTCTGCATCAAAGATTTAAGTATAAACGATGCAATCTGAACAAAATGCAGGTTAATTGCTTTCTGTCATCTTGAAATTTGGGGGCGCGCCAAACACAACACATTCCCAAAGAGGAAAACCCCCGGCGGGTAGAGGGCCCCGCGCGCTCAGAAAAACATTCACGGCCTTCGTGACGGACGGACCCGGACGGGGTCCAAACGAAGAAAGAAAGGAAGTCCTGACACACGTATAAGAAGAGTTCAAACACGCCGATGAGAGAGAAGCCCCGCCGGGAAGGTCAGGAAAGCGCGCAGCCAGGCGCGCACAGCACGCACAGCTGAGGGGCCACGAAGCCCCGAATGACCCCGACGGGGCCGCCCTGACACCGCCCGGCTGCTCTGGCGGGTGGGAGGGAGCCCCGGAGACGGTGCATTCCTGGGGGGCGCCCGGGCTGTCAGAAGAGGCGATGGGGGCACCAGATTCTCCCTCTCTCTCTCACAGGCGCGGCAAATGAATGCATGAGAATTCACCGCAAACGACAACCAGCCAAGGATGTATAAAGTTTGTGCAAGAATTCATCCCAGAATATCAAAAGGAGAGAGAGAAAGAGAAAAGAAAAACAGGAAAAGAAAATGAACCCCCCCCAAGCCCACCCCGAGACCCATTAAATCAAGTTATAAAATTACTTGAAATGTGGTACAGGGGCGCCTGGGGGGCTCAGTCAGTTAAGCATCCGACTCTTGGTTTCTGCTCAGGTCACGATCTCACGGTTGGTGTGTTTGAGCCCCGCGTGGGGCTCTGCGCTGACAGCACAGACCCTGCCTGGGGTTCTCTCTCCCCTCCTCTCTGCCCCTCCCACTCGCACTTTGTGTCTCTCAACAAAGAAAACAAGAGATGTGTGACAGTTTGCCTAGAATACGGATGCTAAGCCAGCGTCAGGAGAGGTGGTGGAAACACAGTTTACTGTCGAGGAAAGACGCCCAGAGTAAATCCCAGGGCTCTGAAGTCCTGCGTGTGGATGTAACTCCCTGAGGTGCAGGGAGAACGCACCCCAGCACGCTGGCCCAGCCGGCGCTGGGCAGGGCCTATAGGAAGGTCGGCTGCTCCTTTGTGAGTATTAACCCTTCTTTAACAGGCCAGCATGTGCCCGCGCCGAGCCGGGCCTCACACGGAACCCTGTGCGTCCCGCTGGGCGCCCACGCGTCACCCCCGCCCCAGGGCTCCCATCTCAGCTCTAGGTCTCTGTCCTCCGGAACGGCCTCTCTCCTGAGCGGAGCCCACATCCACAGCTGGGGCGCCAGGTGGTGCCATCGCGCCCACGCGGTTTTCCTGGCGCACATCCGGAGTCCCCATTCCCTCCCCAGCCCCTGGCGCCCACCAAGCACCTTCCTATCCCTGCAGATGGGCCTTTGCTAGAAACTTCCCCGAGAAGGACCCAAAGGATGTGCGTCTTCGGGGGCTGCTTCCTTCTCTGACATTGTTTCCTCCAGACTCGGCGCGCACACGGCTTGGGCTGTCCGACATCACCGAGACATCCCACCTCCCTCAGATTTATGGATAAATCGAACACAGCCCTAATCCAGGTTCCAGCGGCATTTCTGCTGGACACCAGAGGTGGATTCTAAAGATGACAGGTGACAAGACAGAGAAAAGCCCCGGAGGGCGGGGAGGCCTCCGTGGACCGGCCGGAGGGGAGACGCGGGGCTACTGCAGGCCAGCGCCCCCTTCCCGGCCCCCCTTCAGCCGACCCTCCTCCTACACAGCCGAAGCCACTCAACACCCTCTGGGAATGAGACCAGACGGACGGACGGAGTCAAGAGAGCAGGATCTGAGCCTCGTCTCTGCAGCTACCTTGGTAACAAGAGTGTCCCTGAGGCCGCGCAGTGCCTCCAGCCACCAGGACGGGCACCAGATTTGAGACAAAGTCCGTCACGTCCAGTGACTGGGCTCTGGTCTTGCCAGTGGCTACCCTGCGCACCCCGTGAAGCCCTTCGGGAGGCACCCGCCTCACAGCAAGCCACCCTCCTGTGTCACCCCTGCCCAGAGCCACCAACCAAACACCCCCCTGAACTTCGACGGCAGAGTAGGAAGACATCACAGCACTGACCTGTGCACGAGGCGTAGCTGTCCTCAGCGCCGCGGCTCAGGAACCAGACATCCACTCCCTGCAAGAGAAGCGGAACACTTCAAGCGGAGCACCATTTGGCCAGAAACACGTGCTGGGCAGGGGCGGCAAAGAAGGGTCTGGAGCTCACGGTCACAACATCATAAAGGCCTGCCTTTCAGCTGTTCTGCCAGACCCAGTGGCTCCCGGTGCAGAGGTGGGACGTGACCCAATTTGCCAGAAAGATCTATTAGAAGTTTGCCGGGTCGTCCCTACTAAATTCTCCAAATGCTCCCAAACTACACTGAGGCAAGGATCGCATGCTTACGTGACCTTTCATGCTTTATAAGGATGTTCACCTACATCACGTGACCCTCAGGGTCCCCTGTGGGGAAGCGGTGCAAACTGAGTCAACCCCCTGCCCTGGGGCACCCACCCAGTCACCCAGGTCTGCCTGCGGGGACATGAGGGCCAAATGCAAGGTGGGATCCAGAATGGGGTCCCAGGGCAGGATGGGCCTCAGGGGCAAACTGGTGAAATCTGAATAGAGAGTGGGGCTGGGTTCATGGACCAGCACAGTTGTCACAAATGCACTGTGGTTCTGGAAGGCTCGGCCGCAGGGGAGGCTGGATGAAGAGCAGACTGGAATGCTCTTTTTTAATTTTTTTTTTTTCATTTTTATTTTAGAGAGAGTGAAAAGAGGGACAGAGGGAGAGAGAGAGACAGAGAGAGAGAGAGAAAATCCCTAGCAGGCTCCATGCTCCCCACGACTTGATCCCATTTGCAACTCTCCTGAAAATCTAAAACTATTTTAAAATTGAAAGGTTATTTAAAAATAACTCAATTAAAAGATTTAGATGCCAGCTCCCTTTCCTCGCTTTCCCCAGAGTTCGGGCCGTTGTGTTGTCAATCTGGGGCCAGGATAGAGAACTGCAGTCCCCACCATCACCTGCAGGTGGCGCTGCTGCCTCAGTAATGACGCAGACGCCGCTGGGGAGCTGCTGGAGCCCAGCTCTCCGCAGAGGCCGATGGGGGCGGGGGAGGTGAGAAGCAAGCCCCCCCACCCCCCACCCCGCCCTAGAGGACTCACTTCAGCCTTGCAGGAGCCGTCCATGCATATGATCGTTCAAGTTTTTATTTCCAAATCAAGTAAAGACTCACGAGAAATTGCAAAACTGCAGAGGGGCCCGGGCAGCCCGCACCCAGCTCCAGCCGTGCTGGCTGCCTACACAACCCGGGGCCGTTGTCCAAACCGGGAAACTGACCGGTCGCGAGGCATTGTTTTCTAAGGCCCTCTCACTGCGACGGAGCCCTCAGGCCACATGGAGCACACAGTTCGGTGCTATTTACTATTTTCAGACTTGTGCAACCATACCGCAACGAATTTTAGGACTTTTTCATCATCCCTAAAGGAAGCCTCATCTCCAGCAGGAGAGACCCCCTCCCCTCCCCCCGGCCCCCACGAGCCCCCTTCCGTCCGTGGACGAGCCTGTTCTGGACGTTTCACACACGTGGACTCACACCCCGCGTGGCCTCCCGTGTCCGGTTCCCTCCCTGGGCGTCGTGTGTTCGGGGCCCGTCCGCGGGGCGGCGGGTGTGGGCGCCTCGCTCGTGCTCGCGGCCGAGGGACGTGCGCGTGCGCGTGCGCGGTGGATGCATCTGAGGGACGTGCGCGCGCATGGACGGATACGGCGCGTGGACCCCTCCCCCCTTCGCTCCTGAGGGACACGCAGGTGTTCAGGCCTCCAGGCTGCTGCTGTGGACGTGGTGTCACGACTCCTTCTCTCTAAAGATGGTTTCTCACCTCTGCCTTCACACGTGCCAACCGCAAGTCTCCCCGTCCCTAGCCCTTTAACACCAGCCGCTGGCTGCCCTCCAGCCCCGGGACCTGAACTTGAGTGTTGAGGCGACCACCGCAGGCGCCCAGGCCAGCTTGAACGCGGGCCCATGAGACAGGCTGTGAGCGGCACTGGCTGGCGCCCTGCTGTCCCCGTGACCTTCATCCGGGCAAAAATGCTGGGCTTTCGCTTTCCCGGTCAGGGGGAACCACGGGCCACGCTGAAGGACGAGCAGCGGATGCTGAGGTGGGACCCTGGGCCTCCGGGGCCCGCCGACCCCACGCCGACCCCACACGGACCCCCGCGCGGGAGGCACACCTCGGGCACCAACCAAGGCAACACTGGCGGAAAGCGCCACGCGCCGAGGGGGACATAAACCACGCCTGGAAAGAGACACCGTTCATGATGGCGCCCACTGGGGCACCTTCGTGGGAAGGACTTTCCCCTACGCTTGTCCTGGGCCGCAGTTCTTACAACCTGGGACCCCCATCCTGTTCACATGTGCTCCCTTTTTCTTTTCCTTAAGTTGAGACGTGATGCACCTCCCACAAAAGTCAGCGTGTCTAATGCAGTGGCGTTTAGGATATTTGGAGGGTTGTGCGTCCACTGCACTAATTGCAGGACGTGGATGTCACGTCCGCCCCCGCCCCCGCCGCTAGCCGGAGCAGAGGCCCCGGGTGCCCGAGCGCGCACCCGGCCCGCACTCAGTAAGCACGGGGGCTCCGTGCCCGGGCCGGTGCTACGGCAAAGCCTTTGCCGTAGAGCTGGGAGGACCCGGGGGAGGCCACGCGGCCCCCGCAGAGCTGCTGGACGTGGGCGAGTCCCAGCCCCAGCCTCGCCTGTGAACTGTAAGGGGCGGGCACCCCACCGCGCGCCTACGGGACGGGCGCAGCGGCTCGGGGAGCCCCGTTCTCAGCGGTTGCCAGCAGCTGCGTTATTTATCAACGTGATGAAGGAAGACAAAACATGCGGATCACAAACCGGGGGCACTCCGGGGTCTTCTGCCATTAAATTCCTGGTGTGTGTGTGTGGGGGGGGGGTTCTGTCGCCCTTGTAATTCTGGAGGGGCTCGATGCACCTGCACCCCAGTGTCCCCAAACGGTGAACTGGGTCACGGGCAGCGGGACCCTGAGCTCCCAAACCTGGAGATCTGAAACTGCCAGAAACAAGGCCATGAAACAGGGTGTTAGGGGAGACAACAGGTCAGCTTCTATTTGAAGGTCTGCACCCAACCGGACACACTAGCTCAGAGCTGCTGCCACCTCTGAGTGCCCTGTGCCCTCCCGGGAGGCAAATCCCTTTTCTGGCAGGACCCTGTCACCAACCTCCTGGGCCAGGGGAGGGGTGGGGCAAAGACAGAACTAAATGTCAACAAAGACTTTGGTTAACGGTCACATATCAATATTGGCTCATCGACTGCAACCAATGTGCCCCGCTGAAGCAAGATGGTGACAGCAGGGGACATGTGGGGGGCAGGGGGGTATGTGGGAGCTCTGTTCTCTCCATTTTTCCATAACCTAACACTACTCTGAAAAGCAGTCTATTAAGAGAAGATCTTGAAGAGTCAAATTAGGAGAATTCTGATTTTAGAAAGGAGGCAGGGGGGAGGGGAGAGGGAGCCCATCTTAGACCAGATGATCACTGAGCGCTCCCATTTCACCAGTGATTGCTTCAACTAGCTGTTATGAACCAGACCCAGAGAGGAGCTGGGTCAATCTTGGCCAAATGCATTGCCTACTCCCCGACCCCCGCCCCGAAGTCTCTGCAAGTATTGTAACAATACAATAGACCGCTCAGGCCGGGATAAACCTATACCAGAGCCCCGCCGCGCCCCCACCCCCACCCCCGGCCCAGGGACCACAGCAGCCCTGTGAGCCGATCAGATGAGAGCCCCAATACAGTCAGTCGCAAACCAGCCCCCTCAGATCACTGCCAAATCTTTCTGCCAACGGAAAGCGTATTGTAGCCGTGGTGGGGATACCCCACCCCTTTCCTGTCCGAGGTCCCCACAGGGTGCAGCGGTTTACTGTGACAGCCGTGGGGAGCCAGCCCTCCTGCCGGCAGCACTGACTCACCCACGTCCCCACCTAGACCTGTAGCTGGCCATCACCTGTGCTAATGGAGAGCACTGAGCAGCACTGGATTCATCATATTCTTGCTTCCCAACATCTATCGACCTGATAGTCTGGGGAGACATGAGAGCCCAACGGGACCCCGGAGAACAGAACAGCAGGGTGAGAAAACGAAGGCTTTGGAATTTCGCACAACGTAAACGCCAGCACCCCCTTTCTGAAACTGAAGGAAGCCCCTGCCTTATCTTCTTCCCTGTGTCTCTCCCTCCACCCCCAGCGATGACTCTCCGTGGGGGCCATGCTGGGCGGCACCCCTCAACCCCGCCCACACGATGCCAAGGACACCCCAGTCGCGATGACCACAAGTGTCCCCAGGCACCCCCACCACCCCAGGGGGGACCCAGCATTCAGTAACAGGCAGATCTCCCCTTGCCTGGGCCACAGTTCACGTCTCCAGGAACTGAGCAGCTGGGACAGGGACATCGGAGCCCCTACCTCCCCACACTGACGCCCCCTGCCCCCCACCCCCGGGTGCAGCAGGAGCACAGGCCTCCAGGGAGGCTCCATATAGCCACGCGGCCCAGGCCCAGCCGCTGTCCTTCATGCACTCGCTGCTGCCATCACCCCAGCCTTCCCTGTCACCACAGCAACCATCTAAATATGTCACCCTGACGAGGCTCTGATTGCAAATGAAGGGGGGGAGGAGGAGCCTAGGGGAAGGTGGGGGACAGAGGCTGGGGACAGGAGGTGACCCGGCTGATGGCGGGCTCTGCCAGGACTAGCCCAGGTCAGGCACCATCACACCCCTGATCAGACAGGACACGGGGGCACCATTCGCTTGACCCCAGGGTTAAAGGTCTCTGGGAGCCAAGCACAAGAAGGCGGCTGGAGTGCTGGTGCCCTTGCGCCTCAGATCCATGGTGACTCTGGAGGTGCTCCCCACCCTCCTCCACATAACCCAGACTGGGGGGGCTACCTGCTCCACACCTTCTGACCAGGACTGCCACCGTTTCTTCTGTCACATGCAGGCAGGGATCTGACTCAACTGTTTCCCAAACAAGCATCACAGGGTCTTCCCCCCCTCCCCGGCACTGCAGACACTGGGCTGGGTGGTTCTCTGTGGGGCGTCCCTGGCCCCCACCCCTCGATGC